AAGCACCTGTCTCCGTGCTTCTGTGCTTCTGTAGCGGCGGCGAGATATGAGGCGAGTCCACAGCTCGGGCAGTGGTGGCTCCTGAGCCAGCGGGGACGCATGGGCCTGGCGCGGTGGCGCACGCCTGTCGTTCCAGCTACTTGGGAGGCTGAGACAGGAGGATCGCTTGAATCCAGGAGTTCTGGGCTGTAGTGCGCTATGCCGATCGGGTGTCTGCACTAAAGTTCGGCATCAATATGGTGACCTCCCAGGAGCCGGCGGCCACCAGGTTGCCTAAGGAGGAGGAGTTCTATACCATGCATTGTTTGTGCTAAATTTCCTCACATATGATGCTACAGGAAAATCAGCCGAGGATCGCCTCTGTCATCCATCAACGGCTCAAAATTATGCTCAGGCCTTATGAAAAGATCCCCTAACTCACAAATGGCATGGACCAGATCTGGTCCTCATTTGGGGAAAAGGACATGAATGTATTTTTGATACTCAGGCCAATAATGCTAGATGGTTGCCTGAACGCCTTTTAAAACTATATAATCCACCCAGGGAAGCCCCTGAGAAGCCTTCTAATTCTGCTTAATTCTAGATAAAAGATGCTGTCGTTTTGGCTACTTGTGTGTTCCCATCTTCGATTGCTGTTGCTGCTGGAAGCCCTTATCAGATCTACAACTACACCTGGATGATCATCAACCCAGCCTGTGATGCTGCCAATGCCTCCGCAACTATTACGACCTATTCCCCCCTGATAGTTGACTTATGTGCTTTAGCCTTAGGGGCCTCTCCAGACTGGGGGACCCCTGACCATTTTCCCCCCAGGACCTCCCTCCTCCGCTGACTCACTCTCTCCTTAATTAACCCTACTGTTCAGGCCCTTCATCAAGCCAACCACTCCCTAATATAGAGGACTGTTGGGTCTGCTATTCTTCCACCCCTCCCCTTTTATCAGGGAATTACAGGCACTTAATTTCTACCTTGCCTGTTCTACTGGATTGACTACTTATACTGTCACCTTTACCTTTTCAAAAACTAACCAGATTCATTAAGTCTCAGATTGCCACCATCCTCGAAAAACCGGTTTTGATCCACTTCCATGGCCTGGAGGCATTAGATTCTGAGCTGCCTGACGACAATGAAAACCCCCACAGTCCTAAAGGACTGGATTTTTCAGGCCTTGAACATTGAACCTCCCGATTTCCTTAGCCTTGGAGCCGTCCATGTTAGGAATATCGTGGTGCCGCAGGCCAGATGCCGACCCACCCCAAAGGCAGTAGCGCCCTCCATGAGGGGATTAGCATGAGGCCAACCCCCAGATGCCCACTCCAAAGCACTCCCAAGCTGCTAGCCTTATGAAAGGTCACCTGAGTGCCGGGGGCGGATGCACCTCATGTAGCCTAAAACAGAGGCACTACCCCTCACTGTTATATAAATTACAATACCATAAAACATAGGGTCCTGGCTCTGGGTGCCCATCATGTAGCCTAAGCCAGACACTCCATTTTATTATACTTAGTAGGGGGAGATGTCAGAAACCAGCCTTGGCAACCCCCCCCCCATGCCTAACTAGCCGCCAGCTAGTCTAGCATCCCACCCCTTAGGTTCCGGGACCTAAGCAATTAGCATCTATTCCTTCCCCCACTTCCTTAGGTTAGTGCTTGAGGTAAACACAGGAAATTGCTGAGCAATTAACATTCATTCCTCCCCCCACCTCCTCTTTCTCTGCTTCCTCCTCTCTCTTTAAAAACCCCTTGTAATAATCAATAAAGTCAGACCTTGACAAAAATCGCTTGGTCTCGATCTTCTTTTCTGCCCATTATTTTCAGGCTTGATCCACCTTGGACTCACGAATTACCGGAGCCCCGAGGGCGGGGGCACAGAGCCTCTTAATTCATACACTTCATTTGGAGACTAGAGTTAGATTAATATTCCTCTGGGGTGATGTTCCAGAAGAAAGAACAGCAAACCAGCCAATCCTGTTTCCTCTACATAGCAGATGTGAACAAACAAGAGGAGGCAGATCTCTCCCACTTGCTTTATAACAAACCATGCATCTCTGTGTGTGTGCATACAAAGAGAAGAATCCCAGAGAATATCAACACTTTCTTCAACAAGCAAAGGCAGCTAGTTCATAGAAATGCTGACCTTTTCTAACATCTTCCATAAGTGTGAGCCACAAAGGAGAAGCTGATACTCTTTAGAATTCTGGCTCATGCTTCTTGAACAGAGAAGACAGATGTAGATGTCATGAAAGAAGTAATGTTCCACTACCATCATCACAAACCTGGCTAGTACTTGACTTTCAGTTTGTTGAGATGAAGTCTCAATATACAGTCTAAGTTAGCTTCAAATGTGCAGTCTTCTAAAGTATCTGAGATTTAGAGTATCACCATGCTCAGCCTCATTAGAATAAAAGAGATGATAGTTCTATATGCTTTACTTTGTGTCAGAATAAAACAGAGATAGGTCCTTATCCTCAAATCTAGATCTGTAACTCTGCATGTGCTATGGGTACATAATCTCATTTCAAATAGACAAGGACAGAAAGCTTTTTTTTTTATTACATGTGTATGGATGCTTTGCCTACATGTGTGTACAAGTACTATATGTGTACATGGTACCTGCAGAGGTCAGAAGATGGCATTGGATACTTTGAAACCAGAGTTACAGATGGTTATGAGTCACCATACAGGTGCTGGGAATAGAATCTAGGTCTTCTGAAAAACCAGCCTATGCTCTTAACCACTGAGCGATAGCGATATTTCCAGCCCAGGGTATGAAACTATGGAAGGTTAGGAGGAAAAGAACTGGGAGAAAGAGACAACTCATTTGTAAATATCTGGAGGCCTCTTATGTAGAGGAGTGGTGAAGTTTGCTCTTGTTCAATATTACTCCAGGTGGGGGAGGGGGGATGCCAACTACAGATTGGAAGTAACAGGTAAAAAGGTATGAGCACATTATTTAGAAATTTTGGCAGTCAGAACCATCCAATAAGACAATCTCATTGTAAAGAAAAGGATGAATTAGAGGGTTCAAAAGCAGAAGCAAGACAGTCTCTTGGTGAAGGTTTTAAGTCACTAGAAAGAAAAGGAGGATTGGACTTGTAGCCTTTAAAGTCCTTTCCAAATCTGATATTCCAAATCTAAGACCTTGTTTTAGCTTATGCAATCCTTTCCAACTTAAAGTTTTGCATATATATGTATTCAGATGATCTGTGATTTATTGTGGTTTGACTTAAGATTTTTCAACTTTACAATGGTGCAAAAGGTACCTGTCTTGGTCACTTTTCTGTTATGATGAAACATCATGGCCAAAGTTATACAAGAAAGAATTTATTTGGGGCTTACAGTTTCAGAGAGTTAGAGTCCAAAACCTCTTCATGGGGAGGAATGTAGCAGCAGGCAAGCAAACATGGTCTTGGATATGTAGCTAAAAGCCACTATCTTAAGATACAACCAGGAGGCAAAGAGACACTCAAAGCCATCCCCCAATGACACAACTCTTCCAACAAGGACACACCTCTGAATCTTTCCCAAACAGTTCCAAGTATCAAACATATGATCCTATGGGGCCAATCTCATCCAACCACCACAGTACCCAATGCAATCATTCTGTTTTTCACTCAAAGTATAGTATTTAACAAATTACATGAGATATTCAACTTTATTGCAATTTAGGTTTTGTGTTGGATGACTTTGTCCAACTGTCAGTTAAATGTAAAGCATTCTATGCATATCTAAAGTAGGCTAGGTTAAGCTATATGTTTGGTAGGCTATGCATACTTAAATGTATATTTGACTAAAGATTTTCAACTTGAAATCACTTTTTGGGGGAATGCTAAGAAGAACATGTGCACACATTTACTTTTTCATATTAAATATGCACACACAGTACCAACTCTCTCAGATGGCTTACTGAAGTGTGACACAGGAGCAGAAAACCCAGAGTTGCCGACACAGAGGCTGTGGCAGTGGCAGTGGCAGTGGCAGCAGTATCTTTGCTTCCTGCTTATTCACTTCTCACTTACTGGTACTTTATATACTTTATCTTAGGTCCATTTAGGTTTTATCACTCTGTGAATCCCAGGAATAATAGCATCAGGATCTGGCTCAATCATTTACCCTTTATCTACCACAATATAACTTGGTAACTAGTTTAAATAATAAATAGTGGGAAATGTGAGCCTAATTTGCTTTAAAAAGTATGCACAGTACTGAAGAGCCAAGTGTTAATATAATTTTTATTAAGAAATGAAGTGCATCTTGGAGACAACAACAGATTAATTTGCAAAAGATACTAAGATGATGGTATGCTATTTATAGAGTATTTCAATATCATCCCATAGACTGTGTTATTTTTTAAAAGATAGGCATTTTATGTCCATATCTGTTTTGTTGGTGATATTTACAACTACAAAGGAGTTACAATGCTTTTATAGACTTTATATGTGCTTGTTCTGATGTCCATGAAGCTGGAAAATATTCAGTTAATTATGTTGACTATTATTTGCAATGTATTGGGAATATAAGATTTAGAGGCAAAAGTGTGACTAAGCCCTGCAACTAAGATTCTGAGATAGTCTCTCTCTCTTTTCTTTGTTTTTTTTAGAGACAGGGTTTCTCTGTATTGTTTTGGAGCCTGTCCTGGACCTCGCTCCGTAGCCCAGGCTGGCCTTGAACTCACAGAGATTCGCCTGCCTCTGCCTCCCGAGTGCCGGGATTAAAGGTGTACACCACCAACGCCCAGCTCCTGAGATAGTCTCTTAATCCATCATTGTCATAACACAAGGATAACAAATACTACTTACTTCATAAAATTATTGTGAGGACTACAAGAGATAATTATGTGGAAAGTACTCTACAAACTATAAAGAGCTATGTAGTTGGTCCATAGGATTTGTTAAAGCTACAGAATGAGCTGGCAAGAAGGGGTAATTTTTTATTTAGTCTGTTTTTGTAACACAAAATGTTCATACACAGTTAAAACAGAGGCTAAGTCTATATTCATACCATGTACACACTTTGGCCTTTTCAAGGATCTGGTTTTGCATAGCACCATCAGCTATAGCAAATAGAAAATTATTCTTCCTTAGAAAGCTGTGAGGAATCTGGAAGCAAAAACATATATAGAGAGAAAAATAGAAAAGTGAACTAATGTAGATCAAGAGACTTGTGGTGATATTATGTTTCTAATCACAGGAAGACATTAGACTGGTTACCTAGACAGATCTTTCCAAGAGCAACAATTTGATTAGGATTCCAGTTTTCATGATTCTTCCCTTAGTTTTATGGACTCTAAATAACAATTCTGTTTTTGTTTTTTTTTTTTTTTTTTAAGATTCCATGAGTAAAGCTATAGGTTTGTCCACAACAATGACAAGAAAATTAGGATGATTATTTATGGTAAAAAAAAATTGTCAACCATCCTAAAATTTTCAATGGCCTATGACCAGGACTGTTTAATTTAATAATACATATATGCCAAAATCCACATGAGAACCAGGAAAGTTCTTGGGCAGAATAGAACCATTTGAAACAGTGACAAAGCTGTCCTGTAAAATGCTATAATAGTAGGATCTAGAGGGATATTCGTAAAATAAATTTTAAATTCTTTTTAAAATGTTAGTAATATTTTCAGTTTGAGGAGCTATGTAGTAGCTGCTGAAATAGTCCAGCTCTTTTGTTGTAGTATGAAAGAAGCCACAGGTCACACAGAAATTAATGGGCAGGGTTGTGTTCCAACATTTTATTTAAAAAAACAGGCAACAGTCCATACAACTATGAATGCAAAATTCAGCAACAAAACACTACCAAACAAAACTTAGCAACAGGATTTAAGGGTTATTACATGTAAATATCAGAAAAAAATATTTCCAGAATGCAAAGATGGTTCACCATATGAAAAAACATCAATGCAATACATGTGACAAATAGGAAAAAAGTTTTTAAAGAGGCAAAAATTTGAAAATCTCAATTGATGTTAAAAAAGCATTTGGCAAAAATCAACATTTTCATAATAAAACACTCAATAAATTATGAATGTACTAAACATAATAAATATTATACATGAAAATATACAAACATCAGGAAAAGACTGAAAGCTTTTCCCTTAAAATTGGGAACAAGTCATCTCCCACAAACCATTTCTGGATTACTTAAAATACCTATAGACACATATAATATATGAATGTGATACAAATAGTTGTTACTTTATACTACTCAGGGAATAGTAAGAGAAAAAGTTTTTATATCACATCAATACAGGTGTGGTTTAAGAAAAATTTTATAATCTATGGCTGATTGGGTACAACAGATACAGAGTACTCAATGTGGAGCCCACAATATAGGTCTGACTGTGCTGAAGTTCTATCCAGAGCAATAAAGTATGAAAAAGTAATTAAAGGCATCCAGATTTGAAAGGAAGCAGCAAAATAATTTTTTTAGCTGACAGAGTCTCTTATATAGAAAACCTTAATAAGTATACACACACACACACACACACACACACACACACACACACACACACACTCCTAGAGCTAATAAACTCAGCATAGTTGTAGGATGTAAATGATGGACTATCTGAAAAGGAGATTAAAATAATATGAAAAATACACAGGAATTTTTCAATCAAAGAAAGATTTTACTGAAAGTAATCAAACACTTCTGAAATATATTAAAGGCAATCAATAAAATCAATAAAAAGGCAACCCATGTTCATGAATTTTAAGACTAGTATTGTTAGGATTATGATACTACCTAAAGCAATAAACAGAGTCAAAATGCAATTACTATCAAAATCTCAGTAATTTTTTCCTCTCATACAGATAGGAAAGTGGTTTTAAAATTTACATGGAAGTGCTATAGAGATAGTTCAATAAAGTGCTTGCCATGCACACATGAAAACCTGAGTTCAAATCCTAGAATCCAAATAAAAAGCCAGCTACTGTAATGGCATGTGCCTGTAATCCTAATACTGGGAAGGCAGAGACTAAAGGATTTATGAGGCTTGCTAGCCAGCCAGTCTAGCTCAGTTGGTGAGGTCTGGGTTTGGTAAGAGAGGCTGTCTCAAAATGAGATAGAGAGCTATTGAGGAAGACACCCAATGTCCACCTCTGGCCTTCACACACACTTGCACAGACACAAAGAAATACAGACATCCATCTCCAAAATGTATATAGTTGAAGAAAGGAGGGTGTGATAAATGTGTATGCATGAAATTCTCTCTCTCTCTCTCTCTCTCTCTCTCTCTCTCTCTCTCTCTCTCTCTCTCTCTCTCATGAAAATCTTAAAGAATCCCAAGCAGTTCAAAGAAGAATAAAAAACAAAGTTAGAAGTTTATACTTCTTGACCCTAAAACTTTCCACAAAGCAGTCATCAGAAAGGCTACAAGCATCAAAACTAGTGTAGTAATTGCATAAAGTCAAGCACATAGATACATGCAAGAAAAATCCCAGAGATAAACCCTTACATGTCCAATAGATTTTTGAGAAACCTGTCAAAACCATTTAACGGCAAAAGGACACTGTTTTTTAAAAATGGCACTGGGGGCAACTGGATATCTACATGCCATAGAGTGAAACTGAACTTCATACACACACACACACACACACACACACACACACACACACACACACACACACACGCGGGACCAAAATGGGGCTGGAAAGGTGGCTCAGTGGTTAAGAGTGCTTACTACTCTTGCAGAGGACCTGAATTTGGCTCCCAGAACCTATATGGTAGCTCACAACTGCCTGCAATTCCAGTTCTAGAGGATCTGATGCCCTCTTCTGACCTCTGTGGGCACCGCCACACACAGTGATGCACATAAACTCATACAGGTACACACATGTACACATAAAAATAAGTAAATATTTTAGGTAAGCATAAAAAATCATTAACAAAATGACCTTTTTCATATTAAGTCTTCAAAATCTGGTAAATGGTTATAATTCATATCCATTTAAATGAGAAGTTTTCAACAAAATAATAATCTGTATTTTAGTTTTTTAAGTTTACAGTTGAAAAATCATCTCACATACTCAACTTGTTCAAAATATACTTAAATTTTCCAAGAACTTAAATGAAGATTGGTTTCTGATGTAAAGTTATGTTAAATTAAAAAAAAAAACAGTAGTTCAAGTTACACCCAACTGCACAGCTTATGGGACAAAAGCTTGAAAGGATAAATGTTAATAATAGAAATTTATTAAGTACACATCATGTGCCAAATTTTCTCTAAACATTTCGCAAGTATTAAAATGTTCAATTCTTCCTATTGTATAAGGCAAGTGCTATTATTTTTCACAGTAGTAATGAGGAGGCCATTGCAAAAAAAGGTCTGAAAATGTGTTCAAGTTTAACCATTCAGTTAATGATGCATTTATTTACTCACAAGCAATAGAATCTGGCCAAATTTCTTACCTCTAAGGCTTGGTGCTTTTTAAGAAAACTAGAATACTTCATTTTACTTAGCAGAAAATGCAACCTTTTGTATACGCTTTAGTTAGAGGTTCTCAGTATTGACCATTTAATCTTGTCTTGATTATATATTAGTGTACAGTTGATCATATTATTCTATTTAAAATCTTTCAAAGGCTGCAAATAACTCCCACAGCCTATATAGTACTATGTGATCTGTCCCTGAGCGACCTCCCTTCTACCTCATCCCCTAGCCCTCACCATTTACTCTAAGCTCCAGCCATGGCCGTCTTCTCAGTCTCAACTGAGATGCCAAGAATCTCTGCATTACCTGAACTATTTCATCCTTCTGTTCACACCTGGCTAACTTTTTTTTCAGATCTCAGTTTAAATGTAAGCCCCTCAGAGAAACCTTCTCTGATCTCTCACTCAAAAGTTGTCACTCAAACCTTCTCTGCTATATTATTCTTTAGTTTTCTACATAGTAATTAGATTAAACATTTTCTACATCTACTTGTCTCTCCCAACAGGACATTGTCTTTGTTATTTATTTAGCCCTAGATCTCAACACCTGAATGTGCCTCGCACAGAGGAGACAGTATTTATGAATTAAATAAAGTATGCCAATAACTAAGAAAATAGTGCATTTAAAAATAGGATAAGAAATAACACAGTAATCACACTTGAATTCTTAAAATATTTTACTTGGAAGGACTGTAATTAGAACCCATGAGTAGATTTCTAAGAGAAAAATAGTTAATGAGAACCTCCTAAAATTAAACAAAAATAAACTGAAAGCTTTAATATCTATCTGTAAGTCACTGAAACTTGACAGGATCATTATTTAAAGATACCTTCATGATGGAAGGAATTGAGTAACATAATCATGATTATAACTCAGCTTTACAAGAAGTTCTGGATACAGTTTTCAAAACTTACTAAGGAAATCTACATGACACAAGGCAAATGCTAACTGATTAAAAGCCATTTAAAAGTCATGTATTGAAATGACGAAAGAGTTTAAAAATATATTACATAGCTGCTTAGCACTGGAAATAGGGAAGTGCCACCAAAGAACCAGAAACAAAAGAATTTTTGTAATATAAAACACAGACAGATTTTTTGAGAAAATAATTCAAAGCTGAGAGTCTCAAAACAAACACAGAAAAATAAAACAAAACCTATTTATTAACTTGGACATAAAGAAAGGTCTAATTTTCCTGAGGAGAGAGGTTGGGAAGAACTAAGAACCCAAACTCAATGCTAGCACCCCACCCTGCCAGGAAGTTCTAGCTGCAGAGGTGGTCATGAGGCTACTAAATCCACATTGACCAATATTGTTTTATTAATTTTAAAAGTTCTTTAAAAAGGGAAAAGGCAAAGACTAGAGTTTAAAACACCTATTCTAAATGAGAAATCTCAAAAAGACCAGAAAGTACAATCATTTCAGTACACAGGACTCCCCCTCCTCAAAAAAACAAAACAAACAAAAAACGTCAATGACAACAAAAACAGGGTTTTGATGTGTAGCCTTGGCCATCCTAGAACTTGCTCTAGACTATGCTGGCCTTGAATTCACAGAGATCCACATGCCTCTGCCTTCCAAGTCCT